ACGCACACTATATGGAATTTCATGTTCTAATATTGCACATTGTGGTCACCAGACAGTCTCCACATTGTAAAGCTTCAGCATCTGGCCAATGTACCGAAGTGTCCTAACAGCAGTGTGAAATAAATCCAATCACCTAAGCTTACAAAACATTTGTTGTGCAACACATACTGTTTTTGAAGCCTTTTAATGCGTACATAAATTGTTGTGTTCTCTGCCAGGCCCTCTCTGTGCCTTTGTTGTAATATAATTTATAATCGATGGACAGCTGAACCCCATCATTGCGAATTGTTTTCTCCTACTGCCCTGCTTTATTGAAATGATAAGGTGGTAGAAAGGTGTGTTTGTGTTCCCTTCTCTTCATCTGTTATCATCTAGTCAGGATTGTCCTTTTTCTTCTTCTTTTTTTTTAAATCTCAAGAACACACAATTCTGCCAGGAACCTTGAAATACATTATTCCAGAGGACACAACTTGGTTGGCAATTGGAGGAAGTAAAAAAGTGATGAAGTCCGCTTTATGACCATGTCTCCATGTGTGCAGCTGCGTGTGATGCAGACGTGTATTCACATCACAATGTTTAATGTAGCTGACCTCCAAATTGGGAGCAAACAGGAGTGGGAGCGAAATGGGACAGCATACAAACACACACACACACACACACACACACACACACACACACACACACACACGCACACACACACACACACACACACACACACACACACACACACACACACACACACACACACACACACACCATGTTGGAAGTTGGGGTCAGTGCCAGCTGACCTGCAGTTGAGGTGTACTCACCAGGTTACCGTATATTTTTGAAAAGTGGATTATATTACATCCTATAGTCACCAGTACATTTTATTGGTCACAATTAGGTTTGATGGCCATTTTAGTTTGACAGATGCAATACAGATCCCGTTACTGAGAACCCACTCACTACAATGAAGCACTTTAATAAATACATCACCTGTTTTAGCCTTTCCAGCCACATAAACAGGACACATTTGCCTGTCAATTCACATGCACATGAAATGAAAATGTGTCTCTAACAGACATAATGTAAACAAGCGTTTTTGTGAGTCACATACACACTTAAAAGAGGGAGCTTGCAGTCTGAAAATGATGATAGAACAGAGGTTTGGCCAGTTCTTCAGTCGTTGTCTTCCACTATATACCCTGTAAAACATAACTGGTGGGTCACTAGGTAGTCACGTCCAGATAATTTTATCATTAGCTAGTTGAATAGTGATTTTTTTAAAATAAATAATGTTTCAGTCCCTATTAGAAATGCCACAGATGGACAATTTCATTGTTTCGTCAACTCCTTATGGCAGCTCAGTACCATAGAAGGTACCGTAATTTATTAGTTTTTCAGAGCATTTCTGCAACAATTGAAGTAGACGTGAGTGTGCCCGTGCGAGTGCATGAGTGTGTGTATCTCTCTTCCGGGCCTGCATCGCAGTTCATTATCTTGCCTCATCCTTCCTCTGACAAACCTCCCAGCAGGTGTCTCAAGGCAGAAGAGTTCTTCCACAACTTGAGTCCTTATCTGAGCCCAAACTCGAGACTGGCAAGCAGCCAACTCCACCATATATGAGATAGGACCTTCAGTCTATGTCATGGCTTTCAAATCACAAAGATTACACAATCATTCTAAATAATTCAAGCGTATTATACGAAGAACAACACCGCCCTGGAGCCTTAGATGCATTTTTTTTTTTTATTACAGAAGAGCAGAAAAAAATCACTTATATGTTAGTTATAGCTATCATGTTCCGTTTTGTGTTGTGTCTCAGTTCCAGCTGGAGTGGAGGGCGGTGCCTCCAGCGGTGCACCTGTCACACATCATAATCAGCTCACTATTTAAGAAACGACCAAAACAACAACTGATGTCGGATTATTCGCCTGGCTCACGACTTCATTTTAAGTGCAGTTCTCTATATGGTGCACATTTGTGCTCCATAGTTTCCTTGTCTTGTTTTGTCTTTTGTCATGTCAGTAGTGTTTTGGGTTCTATGTAGTATTCTCGGTTTGTTCTACACGTGTTTTGGATCTTCTAGTCTTTTTGAGACAAGCAATTTCGTTTGCAAGCATTTTTGGTTGTTTTTTTCCCCTGGTTTATAGTGACCAGCTTCATTTGTTGGATTTTTTAAAATAAATATTTTAAATTTAAATTTTTTATTGTGAATAAATATTTTTTCACATTTTTATCAGAGTCTACATTTGTCGAGTTTTATTCTGTCTGGAGAGATCCGGACATCTTGACAATATCAACATGATAATATGTTGATAGAACATATTTTGCACTTTACAGAATATTACAATAATTAATGCAGAGGAATCAAATGATCAGATTTCTCATATTGGCGCATTTGGATGTCATGACACAAAAATTCATCATGAGGACTGGATAACTGTGCTACGACACCGGAACACTGTTGGGGGAAAGAAATGCTCCCACGCAATGACAATGCGTGAGACAAAGGTTGATGCTGTGACTGTCACTACTGGCAGACACTGCCATTGGAGTTATCATAAAACTGTCCATTAAAGATTATGCGGTGTCCAGCATTTGAAACAAGTGGCGCGTGTCTTGTGAAAGTAGAGACTGCAGAATTAATTGTGTATTACTGCACCATAGGCAGTTGTTCAGTGTTCTAAATGTCCGTCCTGCTGAAGCGCGTGGATGTGGTTTCCAAGGTAACATCTCCAGTGGCCCGGCTTTTGAGAACACGATGCCTTGTAATGTTGGTCCCATGTTACCATAGCAAATGTCTCTGCTCAACATCGCATACGCTATAAGGGGGCTTTGTGGGCTAATGCTCCTCAGTGCAGCAAACACTGAGACAGTTAATTGGGGATTATGGAAAAAAAATCAATAACCGAGTGGACAAAAAATATATTCTGTTTCCATCCCAGCTTGCTGTTTGAGGTTTTTATTTTATTTGTGTTCATCCAAATGAGATGGCAGGACATCAAGCCAGTATTTACAACAGCATTACTGCTTCAAAACAAAAACTTTGAAGCAAGGTCAATATTAAACATTTTAACATTTCATATGATGTGCCGTATAAATCTTACAACAGCAGCATTTTATACTTTCCTACCATCTCACACAAACATTTAAAACATTTTAACTCTGCTGCTTTAAATAGAGTCCCCACTGTGCAAAGTGCCAACTGCACGAGAGGAGGAAAAGTACATGCATTATACATTGTGCACAAGTGCATTGCCTTTATGGCTCAGTCTATTCCTCTGTAGAGATGACTTAACAAGAACAATTCTGCTCCGTCAGAGATATATTGTACTTTTTTCTTCATTCTGCTCTTCCCCCACCCCCAAAAAGAGGTTTCTCTTAGCTAGAAATCAAAGTGGCAAAATTCTTAGATATCGTGTTTAAAAAGAAGTCATTCTTATCAAGATTGGGATTCGTTTTATTGGTATGTTTTTTTTTTTTTTTTTTTTTTTTTACATTGTCACAAAACATTTGGTGTTCAAAATTACTCAGACAATTAGGGCTGTGCATCGCTCCAATATAATGCAATTCAATATTTGCTGATGGCTGGAACTTTTGTCATTTTTAGCAACACTTAACAAGGTGTAAAAGCTCTTCAAAGACCAATCTTTCCAAGTTAATCAAATTAAAAGAACCAACAAATCATCAGCAAAAGAGCTAATGATACACAGATCAAAATTTAAGAAGAGAAGTGACGGCCCTGGTAGTTGTGCTAAAGTCAGCCAATGTGGTCGTCATCAGGCAGCTCCTTTGCACTTGGTTCAAAATACTGTATGCTGTCCCCCCAATAGGCTGGTAAAACAGTTTGTCATGCAGTTTAATTTGATGTGCAATGAATACTGTATCGTAAATGCATTGCTGTCTATCCTCATTATTTAGTCTTATCTGGAACTCATTTTATCACACAAAAATCCCCATTTGCCAATGATCATCAGAGAAAATGTATTGACGTGATCCCACTGACCTGTGTGGTTGTCAACATTTCCATAGCTATCAGAGATGTTGAAATGTTCCATTTTAGATTTTAAATTGGTCGCCCTGTTCAGTCAGAATGCTCTATTTTATTTAGAAGCTATTGAGATCCTTGGAATGCTGCAAAAGAATGTGTTTCTTGTTTATGGCCAGAGATATGAATGATTATCACAATTTAAAGGCATACACGTATAAGTAATGCAGACATCCCCTTCCACTTGTCCATATTAGCAATGTGAGGCAAGCTGGCGCCTTTCCCAGCTGACTGACAGGAGAGAGCGCGGGTACAACATTGACAGGTTGCCAATCAACTGAAGGGCACGTATTGTACAGACCCTCAAAAATAATAATAATAATATTAATAATAATAATTCAAATCTTCTGTATGAGCAGTCCAGAAATCAACTTAATATGCATGTGTATAAAATGAGGGACAAAACCCCACATAGGCATGTGGAGAACATGCAACTCCACATAGAAAATGTCATTATTGTCGAAGATGAATATGTTTGGGCATAACTGCATTTTTAAGGTAAAGCGATTCATTCAGCAATAGCTGGAAGGCAGGTATTTGTGAAGCCTTCTAATAAGTTAACAGTCCGAGATCAATTGAATGCTGTTGACTTATCTAAGAAGGTGTCATAATAGAGAAAGCTGTTTTGAAGGAGCGAGAAATGTAAGAGAGTTCATCAATTCATGAAAGAGCCCTTCAAGAGAGCCCCGTATTAGCCTTGCCCTTTCAAATTCTAGCCTAAATGTGATGGTTTTAGATAATGCAAACAGGAAGTACATCTGAATGTGAAGAGATCATTTCAGCGGCAGATAGCTGCCTCTTTAATTGAGACTTTCGTCATTACATATTCAAGTATGTGCTGCACTCTCCTGCATGAGCCAATCAAGAAAGCTTTGCGCTGCCATTGGCCGCGTTATGAGGAGTTCTGTGTGAGGGTGGTAGTGGGAAGGGGTGGGGGGGGGGTCGAGTGGGCTGGAGCGCAGTCTCCTCTATGCTCTCCAATTTAATCACCGTAGTCAGCAGAACGAGTGGCCAGGCAGAGCAGCGCAGCATCCACCAACGCAGCATCCAGGATGACGACTGCGCTCATGGAGGAAGCAAGAGAAGGAAGTGCTGAGGAGAATGTGTAAGCGCTCCAAAGAGGAGAGAGTGAGCTGTCAAGAACGACACAGCTGGAGTAAGAGTGGGAGACGAGAGGGATCGAGGCATCATCACTGTCTGTGTGAGCACCACTGCAGCAGCACTAAATCTGGGGCTGTCAGAGCAGCCCTCAGCAGAGCGACAAGGGGGGAAAGAGGCTAGTTCAAGAGCGGGTCTCATCACCCTGAATCAGCAATGGGATTCCCAAGAGCAGATCGAAGTTCACCCAGGAAAAAAGTGGATCACAAGTCCAGACGTGCCGCCTCAGAGAAATAAAGAGACAAGCAAGTTTGGAAGTCTCCTAGTGGATTAGTGAGTGCTGCACTGCGTCCGAGTCGGGCAACCTGCGCTGTCATCTTCCCAGGTCCTCCATCGCAGCCGTCTGCTCCCGGTGAATGTCCTTTCTGCGCGCTCTTCCACTGCTCAGCAGTTGAACACACTCATGGTCGATGCCAAGGGAAGGAACATGAAATGTCTGACTTTCTTCTTAATGCTGCCTGAGTCAGTCAAAAGCAAGTCAAGCAAAAGCTCCAAGAAGGGGAATGCCAGTGGCAGCCCCAAGCTGCCCCCAGTCTGCTATGAGATTATCACTCTGAGGAACAAGAAGAAGAAGAAGATGGCAGCGGACATATTCCCCACCAAAAAGACGGCACCTGCCACCACAGTGCAACAGTACCAGCAGCAGAACCTCAACAACAATAACACCATACATAACTGCAACTGGCAAGGACTCTACTCTACCATCAGAGAAAGGTAGGCAACCGCAGCAGCAATACAACAGAAGACACATTTATGGTTCCTCGACAAGGAAGAAAGAAACATAATATAAAAATTCATCTGCCGGGGTTATTCATGTTGACACCACCTTTGTGCCTGCAGACTTTGACGCTCTAACAGAGGCTGGACGGGCATGAGGTGGACTTTATATGCACAACAGGCCCAGATTGTTCTTTCCTAAAATATTTACTTTGGCCACATGGCAAAAGATTCCAGCTGTCCAGTGCAAAATGTTTTTTTTGTTTTTTTTGACTGGGCTTTGTTGTTGTCTCTCCAGAACATTTTGTTTACCTACCACAGTGCTCCTCTACTCAATAATACATGAACACAGCTTCATTGTTGGGCCTTTTTGTTGACCGCTTTCGTTTTTCTCTCATTTGTGAAACGCCACACTTTGTGCAACCCTAAATTTCATCGTCAAAGAAGAAGAAAATGCATAAGCAACTCCTTGGTCAAAGATATAGCAAGTAATTCCAATATTCTGGTGCTTTACTTTTTTCGTCACGTTTAAATTGCCTTTTTTTGTCTTACACTTACGCCATACAAATTCTCTTTAAATGTGTTTTCTCTCTTTTCGTATTTTCAGAAATTCCGTAATGTACAACAATGAGCTGATGGCAGATGTTCACTTTGTGGTGGGTCAGCCTGGAAGGACCAAGCGCCTGCCAGGACACAGAGTAAGAATTTTATTCGTCAATTAAGTGGAAAACAACATCAGCATTTCTTAAAACTTGCTCATCACTTCATGGAACTCAAATCCTTTGTACTCCACTCTCACTTCGGCACCACGTGCAGTACAGTATGCTTATTCAAGAGAGTCAATTATTTATGTAAATGAGTCTGAATGAAAAAAAGAAGTGGGGTTAGTCCCTATTCGTTCCGCACAAGAACATTTGACATTTTTGGGTCTCCTTTAGAATTTGTAGGGCGCAATTACTGCTTTCAACTTTAATCTAACACTACACAGCCACAACTCAAAGCTCGCTGCAATCACATCGAGTGGATAATCAGAATATATTCTGAATATGCAACACAATGTATTTATAAGGAGCAGTCTTTATTATAATCAAGCCTATTTTCAACTTGGATGCTCGTCGAGAATGTTTTTTTTTTTTTTTTTTTTTTTTTTTTTTTGCCATCCGGCATCTTAGTCTGATTTCCCCTCTCAAGCCTTTGTGTTCCAAGATGTTACCATAAATGATTCATTACACATTATGTCTGGACAATGGGCATCACTGAAAAACACTCTTTGAATGTAAAATTCACTTCAAGTGATGATTTTCTTTTCTGTGAAAAGCACACAGCTGACTCCTCTGTATTTTCAGATGACCCAATGTGAGGTTTTTGGTTTTTTTCCGTGATTATATGAGACCTAGATTCATAATCTGTAATTGCTGGCTGCAGATAACTTTGAGAAGGCAGTTATGGAGGGACATGTTGGATGACTTGACTGCACTTAAAAGCAGAAAAATTATGCCAGTTGAATTTAATGACGGTTAATGCAGCCTTTTTTTTATCATCTTCGTTTGGCACTTATAGCCAAAAGCCAATATAGCCAAGATCATTACAATTGACCTCACTTTCGGGAAAAAAAAATCTTTAGTATCTGAATATGCTCGTGTTGTAACAATGATTGGGTTCACTGTATTTTGCCCACTCGTATTAAGAATACCCCCAACAGACGAGCTGAGTACATCGCGTCGTTCATGGATTTGTTCTCATTTCTAAAATTAGCATTAGCATTAGGTTACAGCCGATTCAGTCAAGCTGTGATTAGTCATTAATTTCAGGAAATAGAATTTTCACTATTCAGTGGTGCATTTGGATTCATTTTATGTCTATCAGATGCAATCTTGTTTGTTAGAAACAAGCCTCTTCATCCTGAGGGTAAATACCGCTCTATCTGGCTGAGCACTGCTCATTATAAGGGAAACCGAACAAACTGAACCTTCAGTAATTACCACTGGGGAAATCGTTCAATAGCTGTGCCTTTAAATACATAGTAGCACAGTGTTGTATTCAAGTGGAATTATAACTAATCAAGTTTATAAGGTCAAAGTGTCTCTTATTTAAATCACATTTCACGTGAACCAATTAATACGTGTCTTTTTCCATTTTCTCACAGTATGTCTTGGCTGTGGGCAGCTCAGTATTTCACGCCATGTTTTATGGTGAACTGGCTGAAAACGATGACGAGATTCATATTCCAGATGTGGAACCAGCTGCCTTTCTGGCAATGTTAAAGTAAGGATCTTCTCTTCTGTAAATTTCTACCATTGACCTTTTGTCATATGGTCTTTATGCTCATGGAATAAGATTTGAAACATTTCTCTCAGTCAACGTCACGGCTGGATTGTTTTCTTGAATCTTTCATATGTCACACTATCAAGGATTTAGTGACTAAACAGTCCTGTTGATTTAATATGGTGGTTGTATTGTACAGTCCGACCGAAGGGCACTGAATCATACCGGGAGCTGTTTAAAATATTTGAGTACTTAATTAAGCAAAGCAAACAGGATTATGAAGTTTACTGACATGAAAAGGATGTTGCGGAGTTTTACACCACAACAGACCACAATGATATAATCCACATATTCTTTAAATGAACAATTCTCTGACAGTTTCAATCAGTAGGCACACTTGCATAAAATAATAATGTAATGGTCAGTGACTGCGTATATGAACACATCAAACGTATTTGAGTGGATGGAGTCATGAATCCAATATTTTTGCTTGTGAAGGCACAGTGGTACAAGGATTTATGAGTTTTATTGGTTCCGTGACCTAGATTGTCACTCAAATTACTTGTAAAATGCAACCTCGACTTACGAGAGACCAGCATATGAGCTCTTGCAGGTCGTAGCTATTGCTTGGTTGACTTTTTGTCTTGTGTGGTGAGCAAACATTCAAGGTACGAGCTCGAAATGGTGGCATCAAACTGCACAACAAGCAGCAGATAGTGAACAATGCTTTTCAAGAAAGCCCAAGTGCTTCATTTAAACTGTTTATTGCCATCCCAAGTTGAAGTTTAAACATAAAACAAAGAGGATTGCACATTGTGCATTTAATCAAATGATGTAACTTATGAAAGTCCACTCACTGAATCCTAAAGCACAATTCAAATGGCAGAGAAAGGCTAACGAAACTAATATTGATGTTGTCGTAGTTACAGTACAATGCTTTAGGCAATGGATATTTCGAAACAAAAGGTACAGCAACACAGAGCAATATGCAGCTAATATAACAATACAGTACTCACAAGCATGTATTCTTTATCCTCTGTAAAAATTACTATTACTGTAGCTTCCTGGGGGGTTGGGAAACTCTTTATGTACTATGTGTGTCTGTATTATACTGCCCCGTGGTAGCCAAGATGGGTACACTAGCAGGAGCACAATGTGAATGGGCACTGAAGCTATCCAGCAACCTATCTGTTGTTTTAGAAACTACAATACTGTAGAATGTTTTTTTTTAAACTTTTTAAAAATCACAGTTAAAAGTGCTTGATTTTTGTGGGGCCAGAACGGATTAATGTCATTTCCATTCATTTCAAAAGAGAAAGATGATGTGAGATGCAAGTGTTCTGAGTAACAAAAGTGGTCGGGGAACACATTAAAGTCAAATCAAGGCCCACATTTCCAATCAACTTACACAAATAAAAAAAAATAAATAAATAAAATGAAAGGACATTCATCCGCTGAATCCCCCAAAAGACAGTTTTTGTTATGTTTGTTATGGAGACAGATTTGTGTGTTTGAGGTGCCTTTAAGTGGCACAGCCTCGTGAACGACTTGAGAAGCTAGGCGTCCGTCAGTCAAGGTGCCACTGTGGAGCTTCAGTACTTGCTTCCAAAGTTGCATGCTTTCCAGTACAATGTAATAGTTCATCACAGCAAACGGCATGTTTGTGTCAACAGGTACATCTACTGTGACGAGATTGACCTAAGTGCTGATACAGTCTTAGCCACTCTCTACGCTGCTAAAAAGTACATTGTACCCCACCTGGCCCGTGCCTGCGTGAACTTTCTGGAGACCAGCCTGAGCGCCAAGAACGCCTGCGTGCTGCTCTCCCAGAGCTGCCTGTTCGAAGAGCCCGAGCTGACTCAGCGCTGCTGGGATGTGATTGACGCCCAGGCCGAGCTGGCGCTCCGCTCCGAGGGTTTCTGCGACATCGACTCCCAAACCCTGGAGAGCATCCTTCAGCGAGAGACACTCAACGCTAAAGAGATCGTTGTCTTCGAGGCGGCACTCAGCTGGGCTGAAGCAGAGTGTCAGAGACAGGAGCTCACCTCGTCCACTGACAACAAGCGGAAGGTTTTGGGCAAGGCCATGTACCTGATACGCATCCCCACCATGGCTCTGGATGACTTTGCCAATGGGGCGGCCCAGTCGGGCGTGCTGACCCTTAATGAGACCAACGACATCTTCCTTTGGTACACAGCTGCCAAGAAGCCTGAACTTCAGTTCGCCAGCCAGCCAAGGAAGGGCCTGACGCCCCAGCGCTGCCACAGGTTCCAGTCGTGCGCCTACCGAAGCAATCAGTGGCGTTATCGGGGCCGCTGCGACAGCATCCAGTTCGCTGTGGACAAAAGAGTTTTCATCGCCGGTTTCGGACTCTACGGCTCCAGCTGCGGGTCAACCGAGTATAGCGCCAAGATAGAACTCAAACGCCAAGGAGTGCTGATGGGACAAAACCTGAGCAAATACTTCTCGGATGGCTCCAGCAACACTTTCCCCGTGTGGTTTGAGTACCCGGTGCAGATCGAGCCTGATACCTTCTACACCGCCAGTGTGGTTCTTGATGGCAATGAGCTGAGCTACTTTGGACAGGAAGGCATGACAGAGGTGCAGTGTGGGAAGGTGACATTTCAATTCCAGTGCTCGTCAGACAGCACGAATGGCACAGGGGTGCAAGGAGGTCAGATTCCTGAGCTTATCTTCTACGCCTAACGTTTGCACTTGAGATGAACGAGGACTTTGTGTAGTGTGGCCTGGTATTTATTTTTTCTACCACTGTTATATACTCTTTGACTTATGAAAAAAAAACATCTTAAGTGTCATGTGTAATTTAGACGACTGGTTTCCCCGATGAAGGCTAGAAATATCTCAAATGTTGGCGTGCAGAAATAAACTGGAGAAAATAATGAGAAATCTATCTTGCACTTGGTGAGCATGTACATATGAATATATGTAAATTGTTAAATGTTTATGAGGGCACACTCATGGCTGAGGATGACCTCAGAAATAGCTTTTATGATGAATAGCTACAGTACACTTCTTATTTCCATCCATGTTCGCATATATAGCAGCGCTACATCACATTCTTCTGTATTATCTAATAAGTATTTCATGCGATTATCTGTCTGGATTGTCAGCATTATAATGGAGGGGAATATAAATACATAGACTTACAGTCAAAGCACTGTGTTTAACACTCATCAAGCATTTGTATTTGGGTGGTTGTGCTGCTTTTTGGTACTTTGAATCTACTAACGATGAGAGGTCTTAGATTAGAGAGCACGATGAGACACTTGTTTCTCACTGTAGCATGTTGCTCTGCACTTACAATCACCCCTCTCACTATAACACCATCAGTGTTGTTATGCCCGCAGTAAACATACATAAATGATCATTAAAAAGTGAAGTTATCCCCATTCATGTCGTATTGCATTGCAGCCTAATGTGTACTGCTAATTGTTTTTGCACCTTAGGTTTGTTTCACAGGGACAAGATCAATAGTGGATTGCTGTGTGGGTGTGTGTGAGGCGGGTGGGGGGAGCACACGTAAAGTGTGCGTACTGTGTTGCTGCATTGCACTGATGTTTTGTAACCAGAGGTTATTTTTTTCAGTTCTTCCAGATATTTTGGGGGACTCAAATTTAAAATATGGCATAAAAACGTCCACATTGGTCTGATGAGGACGAAAGATGGTGTTTACATGTGGGGTGACTACTGAATGTGGATGATTGTTGATGAAGCAAATAAAGAACAACAAAGCTACTCATTGGGCCTCTTTGAATTCTCATTTTTGCCTAGGAAATTTCATTTCCTATCCTATCAAATTCTACAAATGGTTAGGAAAGGTGCCTGGATGTAACCTCAAATCTCACAGGTTCCTCCTAGTCACCTTTCATGAAAGGCTAGTTATTTACGACAGCAACAATTCTACAACAAGCTCGAGACTTACGTCAGCAATACTCTCCAGCACGTCAATTATGAAAAGTGGAGATGGATTCATTTGAAATCGTGCTGTCCTTTCATATGTTGGAAAAGAAGCCTTCACACATACAGTATGTGCTTCCTAAACGTCATTAAACTTATGATTATTCCTCCCAATTTTTTTTGATGTGCACCTATACTTCCACATAATTCATTCAATTCACATCATTCCGATGTGAATATATTCCAAAAATTTACCCCGTGGTGGCTTTCCATTCCTCTCCATAAACGACAGCTGATACATTATTGACACTTGATACTTCATGAATGCATGTAAACAGACTGAAGTCTAATAGTGGTAAAGTCAAGCAGCATTAATGCATCTCTCCATCCATTATCCAAACCGCTTATCCTCACAAGGGTCGCCGGGGTGCTGGAGCCGCAGTAGGCGGGGTACAACCTGAACTGATTGCCAGCCAAATGCAGTGCGCACAACAAACAACCACTCACACTTCAGGACAATTTAGAGTGTTCCATTAGCCTGCCTTGCATGGTTTTGGAATGCGGGAGGAAACCGGAGTACCCGGAGAAAACCCACACAGGCACGTGGAGAACATGCAAACTCCACACAGGAAGGCCGGAGCCCTTTCTTGAACTCTCGATCTCTGCACTGTGAGGCAGATGTGCAAACCAGTCTTCCAGAGTGCTGTGGATTCAAACATGGGAATCAGTTTAGTTTTAGGAGGAATTGAGATCACTGGACTTTGAACACAGGCTCAGTTTCACTTTTGTAACATTCATTCAAAATATCCTACATAATCGAGCTTGTGTTCAATATCTATCAACACACTTTACAGTTACCTTCAGCATAATTAAAGTCACATAACCTACAGGAAGTTCTAGTTGAACCCAGCACACGATACTTTTCTCACACAACAATAATATGGCTTTGTGCTTATATTAAATTCTAAAAGTAGAACTGTGACTTCATCTCCACCCAAGCCGGTAATTATTAAATGTAATGAAAAGAACTGACAAACAATGCTTGTGTTTTCTTTCATTGCATAAAATGTGAAAGTGTGTCATTCAAGAACCCATTTAGAAAAAAAGTCCTTACTTTAGTGGTCGGATGGCAGATACTTGATTGGCAATAAATCTGGAGCACATCCGACAGAGGCAGCGAGCATGAAGCCCATGATGAATTGAACGAAATACGTTGTAGGAGAGAAGCGTTTCAGTGTGATTTTTCATGATTGTTTGTTTACGTGGTAAGCGAGGCCATTCATTACGCTGTGGAAACAGAATATGCCAAGAGACCGAGGCAAGCCTGTTCCTGTTTGGTTTAAGTGAGTTTGACATACAAAATCCAGGTGCCATTCCACTCCACCTTCCCCGGAAAAAAAAAAGAGCCAATCATTTGCATCGACCCAATTAGTTCCAAGATATTACAATTTCAAAATTGATGTCATTTTTTTGTCCATGCATTCATCATACACTTTCTGTGTGATTCGCCGTGGAGAATGTTTTTTTAACGAGAGGTGACGATTCTTACAGGAGATCACTCAGTTGTGGTTGAAGGAAATGTAATTAAATCCCACAGGGATATGAATAAAACACATGGTTAGGCACCAAAAATTAATTAGTTTGTCAGTAAAGGAAAACCCAGAGTCACCATGTGCGTATTAATGAGAAAGCCTGTGCAGATTTTGTGGTGTTTTTCTCGAAATATTGACGTTACAAGGCAAAACTACCTTAAGGTTAAGTTGAACTAACTGAGGAAATGTTGCACCCCGCTTAACTTGGCTAATCAGTTTACAGTCTAATATTTTTATTATTCATGAATTAAAAACTCTGTACTGATAATACACAGCACCATGCTTTCAATAGAAAATGGACACAACCGAAGGATACACACACACACAATTTTATAAAACTATTAATTCATAGTTTAAAAAAATTTTATAATTGTAAATATATATATATATTATATATATATATATATGAAATGAATATGTCCTTTTTATTATGTAGGTAGAGTGATGGTTTGTAATCCTTTTCACATAGATTATTGTTGCACACTAATGGCAGGGGAAAAACCAAGGTGGTATATCAAAGACAACAAAAGGTCACAAAGTTCAGCAAGGAGATGCACTCGGGCCAAGGGGGGGACAAAAATGGGGCCACCTATTGCTCATTTGTCATCAAACTGCAGTGCTAAACAGCTACAAAATGCGAGGGGTATTATTTGCAGTAATCTCCTGTCTTGGAGCTGCTGCCAACCACATGAGATCGGGGGTGCAGTGCACAAGCGGCACCCTGTGATTGTGTTTCTCGTTTATCTATTTATTTATTCATTGCTACCACCCTGCGCTAAAACGTTTCAACTGCCTGGCCATTCAGAGACCAGCTTTTATGTAAGATTAGCCTGTTTATAGTGATGTCACAGAGCTTTGCAGGCATCAATAGGGCTCTGATTTCAAGGACCCAAAAGCTTTTTGTGTATGGTGAAGAAATCTGCTGGAAAAAAAAAAGGGGGAAATGTACTTTCCCTGAATAAGAGAAGTTACACAGTGTATTCAAACCTGATGGAAACACAGCACACTGTAGCGGGCATACAGAGGGTAAACTAAAGTACCTTGCAGTGGTGCAGCGGTAAATATAGTGCTGTAGCCTTTTTTCCAAAATATCATGTTTGTCCAATGAGGTGTGACCTCTGCAGATATGCTATAGGTACACAGAACTCGATCCAGACATTTTCTATACCATTTGTCTTCATTCACGAGTGAGTTGGAGCCTCTCCCAACTGAGAGGCAAGAGGCTGTGTACACCCAAGACTGGTTTTCACCCACACTTACATTCATACCTATGGACAATTTGGAGTCTTCAGTTTCCCGAACATGCGTGGCTTTGGAATGAGAGAGAGTACCCCAATTCCACACAGGAGGGTTAGATTTGAACCTCCAACCTCAGAACTGTGAGGAAGACCTACAAACCCATAGACCAGACAGAGGGATCATGTCCAGCCTGCCCGAAGTCTCTGCCTGGTCCGCACAGAGATCGTGAAGTCAAAATAAAACATAAGTGATCCTAATTTTAGCAACATTGGTGGAGGGAAGAGGGCAAAGAAGATTTGGCCTGAGTTATTTTATTTATATTTAAATATATACATTGAGTGGATTTTAAGTCACCACTGTATGATTGCAAATTATTGTCAATGTTATTATACTTCCCAGTTATCGAATTTTTAGGAGTCCTGAGTAGGAATGGCTAACGTGAGTTGGTGTGTGGTGCCCATATTTATATTCACTTCATTCATTCATTTTCCGAACCGCTTGATCCTCACTAGGGTCGCGGGGGTGCTGGAGCCCATCCCAGCTGTCTTCGGGCAGTAGGCGGGAGACACCCTGAATCGGTTGCCAGCCAATCACAGGGCACACAGAGACGAACAACCATCCACGCTCACATTCACACCTAGGGACAATCCAGAGTGTTCAATCAGCCTACCATGCATGTATTTGGAATGTGGGAGGAAACCGGAGTACCCGGAGAAAACCCACGCAGGCCCGGGGAGAACATGCAAACTCCACACAGGGAGGCCGGAGCTGGAATTGAACCCGGTACCTCTGCACTGTGAAGTCGACGTGCTAACCACTGGACTACCGGGCAGCCCCATATTTATATTTATATTTTATATTTATATTTATATACTTTTTGTCTTCTACTTTCTTTCTTTCATAATTTTGCTGCTGTAAATTGGGAGTTTCTCCATTGTAAGACAAATAAAGGTTTTCTTATTTTAAAATTTTGAATGTGTAAAGATGTAATTTAAATGACTGCTTATAATTTACCTTCCCATTTCTATTTCCTAATTATAACAACACATACCATTCATTTCTATACATGTAGCTTTATATTCAAAAAAGAGAATATGCTTTTTCTCAATAAAATAAGAATAATATAGAACGAAGCTGAGGTTAGCATGCCGGCTTGGCCCTCAGCAAGTGTTCCCATTTTTCATTTCCAAAATGAATTGCCCAGCCCTTAGACGATCATTCCGCATAAGATTCATGAAAAATGAATGCCACTTTGAAGAGCTAAATTAGCTGATGTCAAAGTTTTTCTTTAATTGCACAACTGTGGTCACGTTTATCTTTCAGCCACAAACAAGCACAACAAGGTTTGATCAAAACCTTGAATGTTGACAGCTTCCTACTGTGAGAGGTGCTCAAGGTTGAGTATGCTAGTTTTTGTGTATACTCTAGAGCTGCTCCTCATGTTGTCTGAGGCAGCTTCATGGCTTTGATAATACGGAGCGAGAGGGCCTTTCTCTCCCCAGGGTCTGATATAATGAGTGAGAGCTTACTAAACATGATTTGCAGCTCTCACAAATAGGGGACTTGAAACAGCTGGAGTCTGAGAAATAACAAGCAGTAATAATGTATTTGCAGGAATGCTATCTGACTCAATTTGGGCTATGTCGTGTGTTTAAACACAATACAGCGGTAGAGCAGAGAGTGGCAAAACAGGCTGTCTTGTGCTGATTCTGAACACAAACACTGGAACAACAGCTTTCCAGTCTGTAGCATGCAGCTGCAGATTTGAAATGATTGCGTTCAAGGTTTGAGCCTGGGAACAAATGCGCATAGAATTGTATTGCACGGTCCACCAGCAACACTTCCCATGGTCAGGATTTATCATGTAGAAAATCTTATCGCTTGGCAGCAAACCAAAAGTGACATCAGACTACAATTAAGGTATTTCTAAGAGTCAGCAGAAATTCTTTGCTACGTGAATACATTGTGTTTCTTACCTCACATTAAGACAACAGAATTGAATCTGCTGAAT